CTGAGCTGGAAAAAACCCCAACCTTTACATTCCCGGCACCAGCAGCCAAACCAGCTGTTCTGATGCAGAAGCAGCCTTGAGGGACACCAGCATAAATAAACATGCCTGTTTCTTGCAAAGCAGAAGGAGGTCGGCTGTGTGTGTGGTGGACAAACACCTCCTGGACCTACACCAAGGAGATCCAGGCAGGAGGAAGAACTTTCTTCCCTGCTCATTTTTGCAGGCAGATCACTGGGGTCAAAGGGGCTTTTCATTGCAGGCCAAAGGTACCGGTGAATAAAATGACATTTTCCCCTCAATACCCAAGAAATGAGGTGTTGTTTTTTTTTTTCCAAGAAAATAAGGAATACACACAACACACACACACACACCCCGCTGGCAACCTGAGCTCGGAAGTAATGCAGAACTCACACTGCTCGTGCTCAAATCCTCAATGATCCACTTGCTGCCAAAACTTGGATACAGCACCCCAGTCCCAACCCCTTTGATCCATCAAAGCCAACAAAAACACTTGGTCTCCTCTCAGCCTCTGGGGATTGTCTTCTTATGAGGTTGCTCTCAGCTCTGACCACCCCTTTGCTGTCTCTCTGCTGTCTCCACAGGACCCTCACCCACTGGACAATCTTCTCACATGAACAGCTTGAAGCACAAGAGGAAAAAAAAAAACCACCAACAAAAAACTAGCAGACAGCTACACATGAAAAGGGAGGGCAGGAAACCTGACCCCCGCATCCCCCTCCAGCTTGAATACCAGGACTGTTTTTATAGGCTTCGTGGGAAAGGAATTTCAAGGAGATCTGAGGAACAGCGAGTTTTGCAAGCAGCTCCCTCCAAACGTCAAGAGAACTTCAGGAGAAAGGGCAAACTCATTTGAAATTCAGTGACTGGGCATTAAGAAGGTGTGCGAGCCACCTAGAGGTAAGAGGAGGTCCTTCAAAGCCAACAAAAGATCTGTAGCTCAAGGATGGATTGTAAAGGACCATGAGGAAAGCGAAGACAAGGAGTGTTTTGCTTCATGTGAACCAGAAGAACGTGCCAGCACACGACGCAGGGATGGGGAGACTGTGGATCCTCCGGAATACAACAGTTGTCACACTCCCTGATGGCATCACTGACGGGTGCCAGAAGATTGTCACAACAACAGATGAGAGGCCAGAACAGGACTTTAGCTGCGTGAACAGACTGGAAGGGCTGTGTGTCTTGGTGATGTTACACAAAAAGGATCTGTGGATACGCCCAGACCCGCGTCTCTCTCTCAGCACCCCTCTTTTCTGCTGAAAAGCTGAATCTAACCCATTTCTAACCAAGTCACTGTGTTCAAGACTAAGTTCAGGATCAGGCAGATCCAGTAACCCATCATTTTATAACACTGCAAATACATTCAAGGACAATCAAATGAATTAATCGAGCCACAAAAGTGCTGCCAAGCAGCTCCTCGGCTATTAAGTTCAACAGAATAAGCAAAAACAGTGTTAAAATAGTCTCAGTGAAAAATTTCCTGCTTCATAACCCTCTCATTTTCAAACATGCATAAAACAATTGCCTTTTATTGGTGAAAGGAGCGCATGAGGGAAGGACATTTCCATCTTCTCTGCTCTTGCGAGACCCCACCTGGAGTACTGCCTCCAGCTCTGGGGCCACCAACAGCAGAAGGACATGGAGCTGTTGGAGTGGAGCCAGAGGAGGCCATGGAGATGCTGGGAGGGCTGGAGCCCCTCTGCTGGGAGGACAGGCTGAGAGAGTTGGGGGGGTTCAGCCTGGAGAAGAGAAGGCTCCGGGGAGACCTTGGAGCCCCTTCCAGTCCCTCAAGGGGCTCCAGGAGAGATGGGGAAGGACTCTGGATCAGGGAGGGGAGCCATAGGATGAGGGGTAACAGCTTTAAACTGAAAGAGGGGAGATTTAGATGAGATATGAGGAAGAAATTCCTTCCTGTGAGGGGGGTGAGAGCTTGGCCCAGGTTGCCCAGAGAAGCTGTGGCTGCCCCATCCCTGGAGGGGTTCAAGGCCAGGTTGGAGGGGGCTTGGAGCCACCTGGTCTGGTGGGAGGTGTCCCTGCCCATGGCAGGGGGTTGGAACTGGATGATATTTAAGGTCCTTTCCAACCCAAACCATTCTGTGATTCTACGATTGCAAAACCTCATACCAAAGAGGGATGAAAGCTCCAGCAAAAGTTAATACTCATCCTGAATTTCAATAGTATAGTCATAAATTCCCCTTTTTAATACATATATAATAGGAAACCATGGAGCCATTTGAAGATGGGCAGTGAGGTCTGCCCAAGGGAGCAATGCTGGGTTGGCTGTATTACACTGCATCCCCCCTGCCCTCCTAATGCCTGTAAAGCTCCTCCAACACCAAGCCCGCAGCCACCGCGTCCCAGACCCCGGCTTCTTCATTTCCTCTCCTCAGCTGGCCAGAAACATTCAATACCCACCACATTTCCCTGCTCTTCACCTGTGGCAGATGTAACCCATAAATATCTCCTACTAATCTTCTGAGGCTACTGCAGTATTTGTGCTAAATCTTTAGAGATCTTGGGATGACGGATGTAAATAATATTTATCATGTACTAAAGGCATTTTCTGCCAAGACATATATCAATAATTTACAGAATTACAATTAGCCTGGAAGTAAGTACAGCGAAGATCAGTAAAATAAGCACTTAAAAATATAATGAAGGTGACAAGCCTAAATTTACTATGCATCAATTAGTCTTTTTAATCTCAGTTGCAGCCATTTATTATTAAAGAAATATGAAGCTACAATGACACAGATGTGAAACCAAGTCACCCATCGAGGACACTAAAACCCAAGGTTATGTTACCGTAGATGGCACTAGCAAGGTCAGAATTAAATTATTGTTCATTTAGAAATAGGCAAGCGTGCATCAAAATATCAGTTTATTGTGCTTCCTTGCTATCTGTGTAATGTTTGAAGAGGGATTTTGCTTTACTCATGGTGGACCACAGTATAGATGTGGACCACTCTGTTGGCTGCTGGCCTCCTCCAGACTGAACTGCGGGACCCGACTGTCTGAGATGTTCTGTACTGAATTATTAATACCTGTCTGGTATCACATCCCACGTCAGAAGTCAGAGGCACCTTTTGGATAGTCTCCTGCCACGCTGCAGAGGAAACAATGCTTGAAATCAGAGAGGGGGTGACCTACCACGCTCCCGTAACGCTGAGCAGGGAAATCCAGCTGCATCCCAAACCGCTCTCTCATGGGAAAGCTGATATGAGAAGGCTTCTGCCCCCTGAAAGAAGATAGTGGCTGCCCAAATCCCTTAACGAGCTGCTTAAAGAGTGGTCATAAGCTTTAAAGAAGCAGTTACGTTGCTTCTAGATGTGAGGGAAATCCTTGGAAGTAGAAAGAAAATTCACACCAAAGTCGTGTTGGAGGGTTGTCAGGCGAATCTGAAGCTTTACTCTTCTCTGGGCTGAACTCACTCCGTTGCTCAATTTGTTTCACAGGGGCCCAGCAAAGTTTAATTAGCTCCTTTTGATGTATTTTTAGGATTTCTGGATGTAAAGCGTTAGGAGTACCCAGAGTCTACACAGAACCAGGTCAGCGTTATGAAGTGGCAAGCAGGAATACGAATTCTGAGCAACATCTGACCATGTGAATAGTTGAAGACAAGGCTCTTTTCTGAGCTGGAAGGAGCAAACTGCCACAAAGCACTCATAATGGGAAAAAACCAGCTGTTTTTCCAGAAGAACACTCAACTTGATCCTACTGCGTTTAAACTCTGCAAAGTTAGGTCATAGAAAATAAAATGGGACAAGGAAGAGTAACCAAAAAAGACCCACCCTAAAACAAAACAAGTCTCCTTTCTGTAGGCAAAATAAAATAGTTTTTGCATGTTTTTTCACCTGTAATAACTATGAGCTTTGCACAATCTCTAACCAAATGAGCAGAAGCAAACAAGAAGTCCCATCCCTGACAACTCACTGCCAGAACACGAACTCTGTGGCTCAATGAACAACAAGGAAACCCACACGCCAAACATCTTGGCTGCCGCACCAAAGAGGCCTTTCAGAAACCTGTTCTTCAAGATTTTAACATTTTGTTTGTAATAGCACTTTTTTTTTTTGTGTGGACAAACACTTGCCATCCAAATTGTACAACTTCACTTTGAGAAAGTTACAAGATTTATCGATGCAGTCGGAGTACGGTACGGTAATGATCGACCTGTTGCAAATATTTCAAGGAAATTGACTTGATTCAGTGAAAAAAAAACAACTTAAGCCTTTTGTGATCAGATCTAAGCATAGCCACAGCACAATCATTTTATTTGTCAATTTTTGCACTTGAGGCATGGCCATATACCTGCAAAACTACAGTCAGTTCTCTTGAGCAATGAATCACATTTTTCACGCGTTGTTGCCAGCATACCTGAACTTCCCTCGCTAATCCATTTCCCAGGAGGTGCCCACAGACACGCCAAGCCTCTAATGCAGTTTAAAAAATCTATTTTAGAGCTGCCAGAGAAGTTTTCAGTCGCTTGCCGTGAAAGTTCAGGCTGGTCTCAGCTCCACAACAGGCAGAGAAACACGACACACGGCGGAGAACCCAGGAGCCCCGTACTTTGGCATTAAAACTGTTTTGGGGGATGTTTACAGATGCTGTCATCCCATCTGACACAAATCAAGTGACAAATGTTCACAGATTTTCTAAGAGATATGAAGAACCTCAGCTCTATGGACTCCTATCGCTCTGAACGTGCAGATGCATGAAAACGCCGTAAAAAACTTTCCCATTTCTAAACTGCTGATACAGACCCATTTCTGCTCTAAATAAATTACACTGGTTGTTCTTTTTGCTGTTTCCCTACCCTTCTCACTCTTAAAACTCTGTATTTTGATTACTATGACGACCATTACATACTTGCGAAGAGTTAGAAATCTTTATGCAGCATCTCTCAGAAGGAAACTTTGCTTAGATTCCTAAGCCCAGTTTGTTTCAGACTCTAAGTAAAACAAATATAAACACACACTTACTTCATCTCTATAAAGAGGACTCGTATAATACATGATATCCATCGCGCTGCTGTTCAGCATATCCCTTAAACCTCGTACTTTATCTGGAGTAATGGAGTCCACAGTGTCTGGAAAAAAAAAACACAACAAACCCAAGACTGGAGTTACACGCAGGAGAATGATAAAATCCAACCAAGGCATGAACAGGCATGCAGAGAACATGCAATGGACCTTCTGGGGACAATTTTGCAGCCTGCAGCTACTGGAACAGCGTAAGAACCAGTAAGTAACGTACCTCCATCGAGGGTAAGTTTTGATCTCCATTCAACGGGGAGAAATTCAACGTGCGTTGCTAGATTGGAAAAATACTTTTCTTCTACTTTTCTTGCAGTATCTCGCATCCTGTAAAAAATTAAAAAAAGGGAATGTTACATGTTCCTGTAAAGACTGCTGTTGGTGCTCTTACCAAATAAAGCCAGTCCATCCAGGAATAACACATTTCCCACATTACTACTTTTCAATGTGCAGTGCATGCTTGTATTTTGTTAAAAAGTACTTCAATTCTTATATATAGTGAAAATTTCTCTGCATTACATGTTCAAAAGTGTTAAAAAAAAACCTTAAATATATTACACTAGGGGCTTAACAAAACCCACTTAAATTCATTTGAAAGACATCTGGTAGCTTTGGTGGGTTTGGGGTAGAATGCGACTGAAAATGAAGAATTTTACCCCTGCCTTGAGATCTTGAATCCACTTGGAATCTAACAATTAAGACCAGTATGTAAGGAAGATAATTCAGTGCTTTTAAACACAAAGAAAACTCTTAAAAATATTGCTTGAAAAGTCAGAATTTGACTTCAATTTCACATCTCAAATTGGCAGACTTGAGAGTTCTCAGAGTGGGAAACAGGATCATTTATTAGCATTTCAACGCGCAGCAGCAGAGGGACAGGCTAATTGTCCTTTTTAAGAGACTTTCCATTTTTTAAGCATATCTAAACATGAACATTGAAGTACCTCTCTCAAGGGATGCAAGAAACTTGCAGTACCTAAAAACCAGAGGATATCTGACCCTCTCTGGTATTTGGGGGAGAAGGGGAATAACAGTATGCTGTATTCTTTTAAAAATGCTACTTTATTAGTGTTGTGTGAAAGACTAATCAGCAAAAGAATAAAGTCAGCATGAAATTATACAAGATACTAAAATACCCGAGCATTCTATCACACGTGTTCTGCAACCAAACGGAGACAGCATTGTATTTGCCTTTCTGCCCTGTACATGAATCTCAGCTCCTGTGGGTATTAGCATTTTTGAAGACGAGCACAACAAATTCAATCTGACCGAGGGGCAGCAGTGCTGGGTTTCCAGCAGCTGGTTCCCAGTTCCAACCATCACAGGGTTTTTAATTTCTGAGAAAAAAATCCAGAGTTTCAACACCGGTTGCTTTTTTCCCCATTTTCAAAGCAACACCCTTTTAATCATTGCTACGACCAAAGGCACAATGACACTAATCTCCTGTTGGTACTTCCACACGTCTGAATGTGATTTAGTAAGTTTAACCCCTGCACTGAGACACTTTCCTTGAATATATTCATGCTCCTCTGTTCTCTTTCAATAGAAATCATACAATCATAGAACAGTTTAGATTGGATGGGACCTTAAAGACCATCTCGTCCCACCCCCCTGCCCTGGGCAGGGACACCTCCCATCAGACCAGGTTGCTCCAAGCCCCCTCCAACCTGGCCTTGAACCCCTCCAGGGATGGGGCAGCCACAGCTTCTCTGGCCAACCTGGGCCAGGCTCTCACCACCCTCACAGCAGAGAATTTCTTCCCCAGATCTCATCTCAGTCTCCTCTCTTCCAGTGTCAAACCCTTCCCCCTCGTCCTATGGTCCCCTCCCTGATCAGGAGTCCCTCCCCATCTCTCCTGGAGCCCCTGGAGGGACTGGAAGGGGCTCTAAGGTCTCCCCAGAGCCTTCTCTTCTCCAGGCTGAACCCCCCCAACTCTCTCAGCCTGTCCTCCCAGCAGAGGGGCTCCAGCCCTCCCAGCATCTCCATGGCCTCCTCTAACAGGTCCATGTCCCTTCTTTGCTGGACACAATACTCCAGGTGGGGTCTCACCAGAGCAGAGGGGCAGAATCAACTCTACCAACCACCTGATTGCACTCCTAATCTCATAGTCTCCAGTCCAAGGAGACAGCAGAGGTTTTAAGTAAAGCAGAATATCCTGTCCATGATGAGGAAAAAATAAATAATTCAGTGAGAGGATCTGTTTAAATCAGGGTCGATTTAAGGCCTGAACTGACCTAAGCCTTGCAAAGCACAGAACAACCCTCCCCACCACCCCCCCTCCCAACATGCCTCCAACAACACTTATTCCAGAGCCGCAGAGATTTTCTAGATTATCAAGAAGATAAAAAAACCTCAGCAAATACACAAAACATTCCTGGAGTTCCTGAGTGACCAAAACACAAGAGAAACACACCCACCTGAACAACATCAGATGATTACTAGCACAAGGACCTAAAATGAATGAATATTCTTTGGAAATGCTAATGATTCTTTGGTATTACCCAGGGCAGCTTAACTTCCTGTGCATGGAGGAGGACTGTGGCCAGCAAAAGTGAATTCTGAAATAGTTCAGTTTAGCAGGAACCTGGCCAAGCAGCAGTCTAAAGCTGTAAAAGCATAGAAACGTGGTATGAATAAAGCAAAGAATTCTACACAACAACAATTACTTTAAGGGAAGGAACCAGTAAATAAACTGGTCCTAATGGTGCAGGAAAAAACATCCGAACTATTTACACATCATCATCAGCTGTGAACTTCATGAAGAAATAGCTATTAGAGCTATTGACATCCCCATCTTCAAATATGACAGCTACAGGATTTTTTTTTCCTGTTCCAAAGGGTCCAGGTCTTACTAAATCTATTCATAGAGGATTTTTTTTAACTAAAAGTCTCCTTTCTAAAGCCAGTTATATGATTTTGGAAAAACCAGTGAGGCCTAGCAATTCTGCCAGAGCTTTCGGGAAAAGCTTCAAGTCTCCCCTCCTAAAAGCTGTGCCAGCTTTGTGTCCTGGACCCCAAAGTTTTGGGAAATACAAAACCTACTTTTGTTGGGATCTGGAGTGGTTCCCCCCCAACCTTACATCAGTTGAGGTTGTACATGGTCCAGTTTCCAGCAGAACAGTCCTTATTTCTGCTAAAATGGGTTATGGATAAACACTGAAAAGCACTTGGGGACATCAGAAAACCAAAACCCAACTCTGTGTGCATCTTCTTCCTTCTGCCTGGCAAAATACATTCCAGTAGAAGTTCAAAAAATTTTTGTTAAGTGCCCCCTCATTTACAAATGGCACTATTCAACAGCTCCCACTGACTTCGATCAACAATTTTATATTATAAATTCTAATAAAAATTGTGGTGTCATTGCCCAACAATGTGGCTACGTTCACATCCAAAAGCCCAGACCTGCTACACACATGCTTCTCATAGAGTCATAGAATCATTTAGGTTGGAAAAGACCCTCAGGACCATCGAGTCCAACCATCAACCCTACTCTACAAAGTTCTCCGCTACACCATATCCCCCAACAGCACATCTAAACGGCTCTTAAACACATTCAGGGATGGTGACTCAACCACCTCCCTGGGCAGCCTGTTCCAGTCTCTGACCACTCTTTCTGTGAAAAATTCTTTCCTGATGTCCAGTCTAAACCTACCCTGGTGCAGCTTGAAGCCATTCTTTCTTGTTCTATTGCTAATGACCTGTGAGAAGAGACCAGCACCAACCTCTCTACAATGCCCTTTCAAGCAATTGCAGAGAGTGATGAGGTCTCCCCTCAGCCTCCTCTTCCTCAAACTAAACAGTCCCAGCTCCTTCAACTGCTCTTCATAAGATTTATTCTCCTTCACCAGCTTCGTTGCCCTCCTCTGCCCCCGCTCCAGCACCTTGAGATCTCTCTTGTATTGAGGTGCCCAAAACTGGACACAATACTCAAGGTGTGGCCTCACCAGTGATGAGTACAAGAGGACAACCACCTCCCTTCTTCTGCTGGTCACACTACTTCTAATACAAGCCAGGATGTCATTCTGGTATAAAGTCTCCTACTTCTGGCTTTTTAAAGGTAAATATTTTGAGCTATTTTACTAGATGGCAGGTCCCTCTACTCACTTGAGAAGTTAACACCAACAGGAGTCATAAATCCTTGTTTAAACAGGCAGAGAATTCTTCTCCTTTCCAATGCAAATGGATGTTGAAATATTGACCCCAGAGCAACAATTATTTAAATCTACACCTCAAAATGAAGGGTAACAACTGAAATTTATTATTTCTCGAAGGAAAAAAAATCCCACTCAGGTAGAGATGTAATGCATATTTCAGAAAGTTTTTTTTGACATATTGCTATTTTCCATGCAAGAAGGAATGGCCTGAAAATAGATACTTTGAGACTCGCCATAAACAAAACGTGCTTGGCTGCCTGTCTCTGATTGAAATAATAAATAATAAAACCATATTTTCACAGGTATCCATCCTTGCTTAAGTAAATATATTGCAGAGACATGTTAACGTATTTATGGTTATTGCTGTGGGTTTTTTTTTAATTTTATATTACTAATTTGACTCTTGTGGAGCAATCACAAACACTGCATTAAAAACTGGAGAGCTACAAACAAGTTGGCTTCAGCTGGTTCACAAATTTTATAAAATGACCTTGATGGCTGGTAACAGAGCGAAACGCCTGAAGGCTTGAAGATGTTATTCATTTTATTTCCAAGTCATCTTTGCAGATTCTCTTCCATCAGATGATTCATAGCCAAGAAAAAGGGCATATTTTTTTTATTATTATTTAAAAAGCATTACAGCAATCAACTTCTTACTCTGAACTCTTGATTTCAGGAGATAGGGTGATGGGATATCCCCACAAAAAACCCTAAACTCTCACTACTGCCTGCAAAACCGTGCGGATCCACTCCTGGATTTTGATCCCACAACTGGTAAATTATGCTCCAAAGCATTTCCCAACCGCTTCCACCACGCCGGAGTGACCCAAACGGAGGGCAACACTCAGTGCCTCTTTGAGGAAATAATACCACGAATTATTGAGGAAACTCAGGGCTGGCTTGAGCTAAATTTGGTAAATCAAAGTGAGAGTAGCGGGCATGAGTAATAAAAACTGTGATCTGCCCAAGCCAGAGGAAACGAAAGGGAGGTTGTTTTCAAACCCTTATCCGTTCCGCAGAAATGCAAACGCAAGTCTAAGCCTAGGCAGATTTCAAAGAGCAACTGCAAGACACAAGTCATCTTCTGGAAGGTGTCCCTTGCCTGTGACGGGGGGCTCGGAACGAGATGATCTTTAATGTCCCTTCCAACCCAAACCATTCTGTGATTCTATG